AACGTTTTGGCGCGGAATTAAAAATAATAATAATCGTGTAATAAGAAAATCCATTGAAACTGTACTGTATAGGCAGGTATGGGAAAAATACATCGCCCCGTGTATTCGGCATATACCCACACGGAATTCGTATTATGAAAATACAAAATACGTTTTCATTTTATGATATTAATATAATTATTGTATTTCAAGCACAATATTTAAATAATATTGCAAAACACGAGAGCCTTTTTAGTTTGAGTTCGTTAGGGAATTTGTTGATTTAGAATAAAAAAAAATGAATGAAACACGATGAAAACATTGTATTGGATGTTTTAAAAAAAAAGAAAAATGTACGAATCCAAATTGAAAATAACCTCTCTCCGCCATAGCATTTTTATTATATTTAATAAATAACTGGCGAATTTCAGGGTAGTTTTCTAGACGATAAATACTATTGTTTTTATCGTTTGATTCGTATTGTGATTATACAGATATAACATTTTCCGTAACATAATAATATCTATTATATTATTATGGTATAGTTGCGAGACGACTACTGAAAAGGTAGACAAATTCAAACTTGATGATTTTTGAATTCCGAAGTAGCGATGGAACTATTGGTTTTACAATGCTGTTTATTTTTTATTTTTCTTTCTTTTTTCTTTGTTATTTGTTCTTTAGTCTGTAGACACATTTTTACCTAGTAAACTTGCTCCAATGTGTATAAGTGTAGCACCTTTTATGAATGCTCAAGTTGTCTAGATGGTATTATAAAGAGGTCGGTTTGATTTTCGAAGCCATTTTTTAAACAAAAGCACTTAAGTGGGGAAAAACGTAGGAAAACGTACAGTTTCATTATTTTATAAAAACACGGACTATTTCTACCAGAAAAAAGGTTTAATCAAAAAATCATTAGATACTTTTTTTTTTTGCTTTTTTGATTTCCTTTCTTACGGTACCGCCGCCAAAACTTTTGAGCTTTTAAGGAATTTTAATTTTTGGGAGTCTTTCGCTGTGATTCGGTTATAAATATACGCAAAGACTTGAAACTTATTAATAATACTTATATTGGACTTATCTATGTGGTAAAATTTCCAAAATTATCGGGTGAATTTTTTTTTTTAATAAGCGTTTTGAAATTAAATTTAAACGAAAATCGCAAAAAAAAAAGTACGGCACTTTAAATTATGTATTATCGAACTGCGCTCAGAATCGTCTTTCGTCAAGCAATAGTTTATAGTTACTTACAGATATTAATGAAATAACCTTATGTATCCTACCTTCCCAACTGCTTACCTACAAAAGTTGCCGGTCCCAACCCCAGTATCAGGTATTTTTTTTATTTATCATTATTTTTCGAGTATTTTCAAAATGAAAATTACCATTTTGTTTTATTTTTTCTATATCAGATAATGCCGAATGTATTGCAAACGTAACTAATATTGAAGTACTTCTCATCAATTAAAAAAATTACAATTTGTAATGCAAATACGATTTTAATAATAGTTTTCAACCACTACTACAACAGTACTGCATTAGTACTAATATATGTGTTTCAAATTATCATTAAAAAGTTAGAACGTTATTTTATGATATAATCGATTATACTAATGGAATGGATTTTTTTTTTGTTACAGGTAAGCAATACACGCAATATCAAACGATTTGTTTTTGGACTGCGAATGGTGATTGCCGGAATATCGGTACGGTCCATAGAATTTATGATAAAAGAAATAAAAAACGCGGAATACTGGTACTCTTGAAAATTTTTATTTCAGGGGATCCTAAAATATTTACAATGTTTATATAGTTTTGATAAATCACCATCGTCAACTAGTTAAATTTAAATAATACGTTAAAATAAAAAAAAATATTTTAGCAATTAAAATAAATAAGTATATACAAAGTAGCAGGTAGGTAAAATAAATATAAAATATACAATACACATAATATATAATTTTTGAACAATATCTATTTCATACACTTTGCTATATTATTTAAAAATTGACCTTTTTTTTATTTATTTATTTATTAGCTCTCTCATTCGTCGTGTAGTTTGTCTTGCTTAGTATTTCAGATTCTGAGTGGAGCGAAGATGCTTATAGTTTTATAAAGATGTTTATGTCTTTTTTTCTTTTTATCTGCGCGCAACTTTTCTACCAGAAGACTTGCTCGAATTTCTACGTGTAACACCTCGTGACGAGTCCGAGTTCAGTGTTTCCGGGCTGTTTTACACGTCGTCATCGACACGCGTGGCGTTGTCGTACGTCAATCGTTTGTTTTTCTATAATTGAATTGAACGTGTTTGTTTTTCTTTTGAATTATCTGAGCGATGGTCTATGACGACGATTCGGATGTTTTAAAATATTATCAACCGCACGCGATTGTACAACGCGCTACCCACCGCCGCCGCACACGCACTAGCTGGCAACCGTAAACTGTATTATTATTACCGCATTATACGAGATTATGATGTCCTTAATGAAATTATTATAATTATTATTGCGACACATGCGACGATAAAAATGTCTTTACGAATCGTTTGAACGCGACGACGGTGAAAAACGACTTTGCGGACTACTCCTCGGTCCTCCGCCTCCTCCTCCTCATCCTATTCCGCCGGAGCGTACGGTTCCGTCTGTGACCCGTCGACAAAATCGTCAGCCGAAACAACGGCCAAGTCTTACCAAGATACTAAAAGTGGTTTTTTTTTCTTCTTTGTCCGTATATCTACTCGACGGCCGAATAAATCGTCATCGGCGGTGGAGAACTGCACGAGGGATTATTATAATCGCAGTAAAATGGCCCCGCGTGTAGCTGTCCACCGCGGATACCTGTAATCATAACACGAGATGTGCATTATCATAACGAAAACGAATTTTATTTTTTTATTTGTCACACATAACATTTTCTGTACTAACAAAATGTAGAATTGTTCGCGTTACAACTAGATTTTAAAAATTGTAGTTTGTTCCTATTTCTCTCCACACCTCCTATATAGATTATCGTTTCTCCTTCTGAACGCTTTCCACGAGTTTTTTTTTTTTGGGCTACGAGTAAAAAATGCGTATTTAAACAAAAATCTGTGAAACAGAGTATGTGCATTGCTGATTATATTTTTAATTATATTAAACCGTCTTAATATTATAACAGGTTTATAATACATGCAATTATTGTCGAGTACGACGTATTTAGGCTTCTGTGTTATCATTGGAATTCAAAGCGTTTAGAACATAATCTCGAATCAGGGTCGGTGATAAGCAAGGCCGGATTGGTTAGGCGAGCTACCGAGAAAATCTCGGTGGGAAAGTTTGGACTAGACGTAACGTGAATGTGGGTGAAAATAAATTCATGTTTAAAAAAGCTGTCATAAAATAATTGGGACGGATGCAGCCACTGTTGTTGGTGTTAGGTTAGGAGGCTCGAAATCGTCTTTCGTCAAGGTTTATTGTTCGTTTGTTAAGGTTCGTTAATGGTTTATCATTAGTTACAGATATAAATTAAATTGCCTTATGTATCCTACTTTCCCAACTTCTCACCTACAACAGTGGCCGCTCCCATCCTCGGTATCAGCTCTTTATTTTTATTATTTTTTTTTATTTCCCTATAATAAATACGATTTTTTTCACCGCGTATTTTATATTTTGTCTTATTTACTTCCTATAACTTTCGATTACTAATAACAACCGAAACCGCCATGATCCGGTGTAAAATATATTATTATAATACGCGGTAAAAATTCCCGCCTACCGTTTTTCGCCTAAAATGTTCAAATATTATTATTGTTACGTGTACAATCATAAAATTACACTGAATATTGAATACATCAACGCAAACCAGCTTTAATGTTACCGCGAAAACTGATCCGGTGTATAATTTTAACCGTTCGTTATTATTATATTATTTGTATTGTTGTATATGATATTGCGACGTGTACGGTCATACAGAACGTAAATATCATGTATTAAATCGTACGATGTACATGTCTGTTTATAAGTACCGACTGAAATAGTGAAATAAAAAAGGTCATGTACCTAGTTAGGTATAACGAGTTTTAACGTTCATCCCGGGAGCGGTGCTGTGCACTCGCAGATACATTTAAATTTAATTGTTATTTTTTAGTATGCGTGAGAATGTTTTCAATAATAAAAAAACAGTGGTGGCTATAATTTTAGGACTTCCGCGTAACGACGATGACGGTAAATTTTTCTTCGAAACCTTATACGTCTTAAAATTAGCTTACAAACAATTTTATTAGTTTACCACTTGTGTGCATTCGTTTAAAAAAGAAAACTATAAGACATACTCGTATTTAAAATTAAATAAACATGATTTAAATTTAAATTCCGTTTGTATGTCTGTCCGCTTTAAACAAATCATTCTGATCTTGATAAAACTTTGCACACTTGACATTAAAAACAAAAAGAAAAAAACCGCCATACCCTAAAAAGTGGCTGACACCGAGTTTTTGGTATTTTTGCAACTAATATTAAATTTCTGAGTCAGGTACACTGGCAACATGCAAATGCATGAAACAGTTTTATTATTTAATTAGGGTTGTCATAGACAAGGAAGTATCTGTACTCTTTTTAAAAGATAAATTACTGGGCAACGACGTTTCACTGTAGCAGAAATAACTGCAGGATAAGGGTGAAAATAGAGAGACACGTTTAATTGAACTTATTTTGTTGATTTTGGTTTTCGAAAAGATTAAACCCAGGGAAAATTCCGGGTAATTTAGCTAATGTCACACAATATCCTAAGCCTAACCTAACCCAACTTAACCTAACTTGACTATCCGTAGTTCGAATCACGTGCTCAGCTCGCAGTGCACCTATACACGATAATAATAATAATAATACGAAAAGTTTCTGTTTCGGTTTTCGCGTGCCCATACTGCGGGAGCCAGTTACCTCCGGTTTAACACTTGTTCATGCGGCGTGCCTGCTACAAGACGGAGTAGCCGTTGAAACGTATTATAATTATTAAATACCCGTCTACCAAACGTGTACCTACCTACCGACCTGCAGCCTTTAATAATATATAACAACAATAATAATAATATTTTACCCAGTCCGGTGGTAGGTATTCGCCGTTATTGCGTGATACTCGCGCTAAAATCCTCGTCGCGTGCAGTGCGAACACGAATATAATAATAATTGCTTCCTCTGTACAACACACACAATACTATAACAATATCCGACTCGTTATTATTCGCGATCGAAATCATCGAGAACCACGCGAACGATCGTCCGAGAGACCGTATCTCGTGTCTTGTGATTAAAAACACGAAATACGAACAATATACTCGTATAATAATGTGGGCAAGGTCTGTCGGTATCTTCGATACAAGTACTTATGGTAGATACGATTGTTTTTGATACCTTGTATCGCGATACATTTCTGGATGGTATCGAGTATCTCGTGTTACGATAATGAAATTAATATGTCTATATATAGTATCGAATACCTATATATATATATTATATACTTTTAAAACTTATTTCGAAGTACATTCGAAATTGAAAGTTATTGTACGACAATTGGTGGAATTAATGGATATTTCGGAAAATGATTCTCATTATTGAAAACCACCGCATCATTTAGGTTACAAAATACTACACGCACGAACAGTTTTTATTAATAATTTAATATTGATGCGTATCGATAGCATCTAGTATTTAAATACAATATATATATTATAATATATAAGTATCCAGTATATTTCATTGCGATAATATTGCCGTACATTCATTTTGGAGTGACTTGTCCGTCCCTGATAACAGGTAGGGGTAAAACGTGAAAAACGTTTCCGGTTGACGAAAATATCGCCGTCCATTGTAGTGGATTTAGGGAGACGGAAAAACGATTTTCGTTGACCCAACGGTGTATAATAGAAACGAAAACATAATGTTATACCTAATAATACTGTTACGAATTGTACGAACTATAAACAAAAAAAAAATTTACCAACGTAAATGCTTTTAAAAAAAACCATGTCGTTTTGTTTTATTGCTCATAATTATAATATATAGCTGCACGGCTTTTGAAGTTGTAATATAATATTATTACGAAATCGGTATAATATACTTTGATATCCGGCCGGAGCTACTCAATACGAGTATATAATACAGTATAATAAAATTATATTTTTGGCAAACTCCAGGATTTTTTTTTTTATTTTCAACTTTGACTTTTAAAGTCGGGTCGTAGAGAAAAACACTTCTTTTCTTATAATTTTATTACCTACACCGATTACCTATGTATTTATAAACACATATTTACGCACACTATTTCCAAATGAAAGTCATTATAATATTACGCGCTTTCGATTTATAGGTACCTTGACCTGTAGACCGTGAAGATTACACAAACGTGAACGCTCATAAATACAAACACAAAAAAAATCGCCCGTCAATTCTCATCCGTATAATGAGAAAAGAAGGGGCTATTTGAACTCGAACACTGAACGATAGGTACTGAAGAGCCCCTTATTTTACGTGTACACGCTGCCACGTATTCACGTAAAATTAACATTCAAATTATATATAAATCCGTGTAAATAATTAAACAATTTGTAAGATTAATAATATTTTGCTGTTTATGATAATGTGTATAATTGCTGTGGCTACTATAATAGCCAAAAACTTACACATTTTTCGCATCGCAATAAAAGCGTCTCTTACATTTTCGACTGCCCAAAAATATCTAAATAAGTATATCTTATTTTATATTCCGAGTAAGGCGAAGAAGCTTATTGTTTTACAAAGATTTTTTTTTTTATCTGTGCGGAACTTTTCTACCAGAATACTTGCTCGAATTTTTACGTGTAGCACTTTTTCTGAAATAAAATCGGCGTGGGGAGTTACTTTAAAGAGGTTATTTTTCGATTTTCTCAATTGTTTTCTCAGCAAATTTGAAAAACCAGAAAAATCGGTAAAACATTAAACAAAAATCATTACAAAAAATATATAAAGACTATTTAATTATTTACTAAAAACATGGCATATATATTGTTAATCATTACTATCAACTGAACTCCGCTCAAAATCGTTTTTTTTCGTAAGCAATGGTTTTTCGTTGCTTACAGGTATACATTGAATTATCTATAACAGTGGTTGCACCCGTCCTCATTATCCTAAGACGTCTTTTTCCGTAATAAACTTGAATTGTCGAAAGAACAATTACATACTACAATAATTCTTGCGCCATTCTTTATTTTATACATGATGTCTCCATTAGATATAAAGTTCTACGAAAAATAACGTACGATTGGTGGCCGTATGAAATAGGTGAGTATGGGTGTACTTACACTAGATAAAATTAAAACTCTTTAAAATGTCCAAAATAATTAACAGAACATCTTGTCTTCTATTTTCGCACCTACGGCATAATTGTACTGACACAAGAGTGTAAAAAATCTAGTTAACTATACACTACATCCCCCGATAAAAAAAAAAAAAATAATAATAATAGTTGTACAAAATATTCAAAAATAGTAACACAGAGGCGGCTTTTTTACAAATGTTTTTTATTATTTTACTTTTTGTTTTTTGGCCGGATACCAACGGTTCGGTGTATAGAAACGCGCGTATTGTGCTTAGAGCAAAAAAAATAAAATAATAATAATAATGTAAAAAAAAAAAACTCGTATTATTGTTACAGTCTACTCGTTATTTCTCGTACAGTCTTTCGTACTAAAATTACTTTTCCGATAATATTATTTTAATTCGGGATAAAAAACTATTATTTTCAATAGTACTCGTCTATCAATTGAAATAATACACTAATGTAGTCGTTTTAATTACGCTAAAACACTACATCAAGTAGTTACGCCCTAATCTTTATATTAATATCTCTGATATATTTTTTTTTGATTTTCGAAATATTATTACTTATCTCCCGTAGAAATCGTCGACGTCGCTCTCGTTTTTCATTACATTTCCCGAGCATATTTTAATATCGTATTACCCACCTTTTGAAATATTATAATGATCACTAGACACAGGACACGTCTGCGGGGGTCGATTTATTTTAGGAAACTGTCCACCGTCGCTGCAGAGTTCTGATAACTACTGCTGGAACGGATGACACGACTAAGTTTGACATCTTGTCGTCGTTGTGCACATGGTTTTTATTGAAATGTACACGTCATAACATTATACTCTGTGGATAAACACGTGGCCAACATGGTTATATTTTTATTTTATTTTTTTACTCATAGGTATAACTGGCAAATATTTGTAATTTTGTTCAAAAACATTACCCCCCCCCCTCCCCAGTAGAAATATCTGTGCAATGTCTTTGGCGTGTAAACATAAACACTACGTAATAATATATTCGTCTGTAAATTCGCCTAATTCTGCACATTAGAATATTAACCGTTCGGGTTTTTGTCCCGAGAATCTTACACGCCCACAAACACTATAATTATTTGAAGAGTAAAATTATTGTCTAGCAACTAGACTATCAACTTTGAAGTTGCTAAATTTATGGACACATCAAAAACCCGTGGGGCTATACCCTCACAATTCCCTTTACACGATTCTTACAATAAACAACTATACATATCATTTACAATTTTGTGTATTTCAACCTTATTTTTCATGTATACATCTGTATATGAATTGTCTGTAGGAAATCTGCATTTATTTTCGCTCATTAATTACATGAATACATGAATGAAATATTCAGTCATTACTGTTTAAAAAGCTTATTGAGTTTTTTGGTGGATTCTTCAGCGTCCTTTTTTTAAATTTTTTTTTACCATATCCTCGGCCTTCTCAAAGTTCTTTTCCCGATTAGTTTCTGTTCAGTCACTATCACGCAGCAGTTTTTTCTTCGTGTATTTCCAGCCATTCGTAATCATCCTATTTACCAACGATCTCTTAAAATATGTTCTTTTATCAGAACGTTGTTTTTTTTTTTTTACTTATAGATTGTATCCGTTTTTCTTCCGTCTCTACACGCTTTGGTAATAACTTGTTACAATACGTGTCCGCGTTGAAATTCGCCAGACCGTATGTAGGTAAAAGATGTTTTTGAATAAACGATTTGATTTCACTCCGAGGATTTGAATAACCGTCGATTTGCACAATACCATATACAAATAACGTATGACGCATATTATAATAAGGCACAAAATTACTACAGAAAATTAAAATTCGATTTCGTAATAGTATAGGTGCCTATATGTAGTTAAAACGCAGAACAATTAACCTAACGAACTTGCGCGTATTATAAAAAATATTTCATATGCGCATCATCATACTCCGCCGTACGCAAACAATAATTGTACAGGAATTTTATTCCAAGGTGATTATGTGATATAAAAATATAGTCATTTAGTAATATTTATTTCGTCATTAAAACCGAGTATAAGTAGTATAATATTTTTAGATTCTGAACTTAGTGAGGAATATTATATTGCTTTTACTATAGGTATAATGTTTGTGTGTGTGTGTTTTTTTTGTGTCTTAACAACTTTTCCACCAGAAACCTTAATACAATAAAGTATTTATTTTTTGTTTTCCCAGTAATTTTCTTAATTTATATTGAAAACTGGCTATTTTTTGTATAAAACAAGTTGGTTTCTGGATTATCTTGACCATAAGCAAACAATGGTAGGTACTTTGCCCACAGTCGTTTATCGTTGCGAAAGAATATAAATTACATCACTATATGTTTATGCACATATACCTACTAACCATTTTATGTTGCCTAACATCTTTGCGATGCAAGTTTCGTGTTTCATACAGAACATCACATTGCAATATTGCTAAGACCACTTGAGGAGGTTTTATTTTAATTGTTACTATATAATAAACTTATAATATCCGCACAACGTTTAAAATTTAACTTTAATGGAACATCTCTTTGCAATGATAATTATACCGCCTGAGGAGGTTTTATTTTAGTTGTTACTATATTATAAACTTAGAGCATCCGTGCAACGTAAAAAATTTAACTTTTTAATTTTTCTAAAAGGAAATCTTACTGGGGAGGTACTTTAGAGAGGTAATTTTTCTATTTCTCATCAAATGTGAAAAAACTGAAAAAAAAAAGAGAAAAAACGAGACAATTTAATTAATGTAAGTGTTTGTTAAAAAAATATTACGGCCTTCTATTTTCCTGTGAACAACTTTTCTACCAGCAATTTTGCTCCAATTTTTCTAAAAGGAAATCCGACTGGGGAGGTACTCTTCATAGGTCATTTATGGGATTTTTTATGTAGGTCGCCATTTGAAAATCAAAAGTAGTTAGTGGTTTTATTTCCGATAGTAAGTTTGACAAAAAAAAAAAAAAACGTAAACGTAAAGTTGTTGAGCTACTCGTCTTTTAAATGGTCTATAAAACAAATCCCGAAAAAAGTTATTATTTTCCGAGGTAATGAGCGTCTTACGACAGATTGATCACCCTGTATATACAGTATATACAATATTCATATTATACCATTCAATTTTCAACCCGAGATTTTAAACTGTTTTTTTGTCCACTGAAATATAAAAAAAAAAAAAAAAAAAAAAATATCCCCGCAGGATAAAAAAATATACGTATACGACCGTTTTATATGACATAATAATTGTTTAGTGTTTCAACGGTTAATCTGGTCCGTCGACATGCTACTGCAGGTATAATGTTATGCTTACCTATATATATTATACAATGTCTATATTACCATATTACACGGAAAGCGGGCTAAAGTCATTTTGGACGTTTTATTATTATTATTATATTGTCGTTTTACTGCGCCGAATGAAGGTTTTTGTTTGTTTTTTTTTTTTTTTTTAATATCCATAAGAATAGACACGCGCGAGGATGATAGAGCTGTTCAACGACATTTGTTTTCATATTTTCGTCGATTCGCTCGCCGCCGAAATTCCCGGTGACCTCTGCGAGGTTTTATCTATGAGTACAAACTTTAGTGGCGGACGGCGGCCGCGGGTAAGTGTATAGGGCCGAAAAAAATCGAACCGATAATTTTATGACGGTTGCCGTATCTTCGCAGTATAATCACATTTGAAACGAAAAGTTACATAATAATCTGTAATGTGTACAAACCCTGTAAAATAACTTTTTTTTTTTTTATTCAACGTCCAGCCGCTATGCATTTTTCCCGATATCCTATTATATCGGTTATGCACCGCAGTATAATAGAAAACCACGAATCGATATTTAAATCAACTGATATATCTCGGTTGAAGTTATAGGAACGTTTTGATCTTGTATTTCGTTCCGAAGGCACATTAGACGTTTTTTCTCCGGAAATTGCGGTTTTGAAAAGGAAAAAAAACAAACTATCGCCCGGTATCCGGTGTTCCGGTGTCCAGAATATTACGACGATTTTCGCGTATTCCGGACCGAGGAGATTGTAGTAATAATACTTCCCGCGGCCAGCAAAGTACGGACCGCGACCGCGACTCTACGGAATAATCATCGTCACGAAAAATGCGTAGGATGCAGTTTATTAAATTATAAGACATTTTTTAAAATTTTTTTTTTTTTTACGGCATATTGCCAGTAATTGTACAGACGTGCATACAACACACCTTCTGAAACGATAATTCATTCTAGAAGAACAAACCCAACGGACTAGTTAATAATAATTTCGAGTATTAATAATAATATATTTATATATTGGGCAGATTGCTGTATTACCGTGTGTACATATGATTCACACGACGCTATTTTTTTTTATTATTATTATTTTATAATACTATAAAATAATAAATTGTATAATATTATAAATGCTTAAAAAAAAAAGACCACTTAAACAGCAATTAAAAAACATGTGAAATAAAAATGGTTTTTTTTTTTTAAAAATGTTATAATTTATCCGTATAACGCTTATTGTTGATATGTATTGTGTATAGACTAAAAATTAAAACAATTTTAAAAACCTCGACCGGTAGATTACGATATTTTCAAGTTTTTTTAAACATAAAATTTTATGGTGGATTAATGAAAAAGAAACGAGCTAACGATATTGCTATTGGGCGTCCCACTTTTGTAGGGAGAAAGTTGGGAAGGCAATAGGATACATAGTTAGTTCTTTAATTTATATCTGTAATCTATTGACCGGGGCCCGCTAAAAGGATTTATAATTTACGCATAAAAATACATTGTAATAATATATTATCACATTGTAGATTGCATTAAAACCGAGAACTAAGCGAGCATAATATGCATTCTATACGATCGTTCAATAAAAAAAAAAAATAATAAGAAGAAAAACTTTTCGGTCTATACGGAAGTTTATTCGTCGAATTTTTCCCGGAAATAAAGACTGTTACACTGCATTTCGTCCGTTATAATTTGTGTACGAAAAAAGCGTCAAAAATAATTTATGGACAACTTCACACATAATTCTTGATAAAAATCAAAATAGGAAAAATTGTAAATCTTAATTTTAATTTTAAAAGAAATTATTTTTAAAATCATTTAGTTAATCATTGCATGACGGAGACGATATATTTCCCACTATTTGTTGACACTTTAAACGAGTCTCTTTGGACCAAATGAACCCAAACTCAGGAATTTAATTTTAATTTTTTTAGGTGGATTGAAATGATAACATTTTGGTTGAATTTTAATAGGAATGTGTTGTTGCTGGAGGAAAGTCTTTTTTTCTAAATTTGAACATCTTTAGTCCCCAGTGATCAAATTTTGTATATCCGTAGAACGTAAACACCAGGGATATGCCTTTCTAAAGTATTACTTTCAATTAAGTACTTTAATTACGTTCAACTCCTTCCCCAACCGTTTTAATGTTCAAATCGCACGTAAAACAATGTATTCAAAATTGCAATAAAATTCTGGTAACCATCACTATTTTAAAGCAATTATGAAAAAAAAAAATTAAATATTGTAACGGCAACAAGTCGGCTGAGATAAAAATCGACTCTACAGTAACGCCGTTTTACTGATCACGTGTGTTTTTTTTTTTACCCATGTAACCACGCTCGGAACCCTATAGGAACGGCTATTTTTGACGATTCCTCTCGTCACGGACCGTTTCGTACGAAATGTGTTAGTATAATACACACGCGAATAGTGTACGACGGTATAACAAATACAATAACATAAATCATATGCACGTACCTCTACACATAATAATTTATAAAATATTTCGGGTCCGGGTTTGAATGCCCTCCAAAAATACTAGAAATCAAACACTCCAAAAAAAAAAAAAAAACAATTCCTAAGAAAAACATAAAATATTCATTCCCAATATACCTGTATCTGTTATACGCGAACCGAATTCGTGTGTTCGGAATACATCGATCCTAGAGCATCCGAATCTCCCTCCTTTCCCTTTATAAAAACAGAACGAATACTGATATCATATTGGTAAACGGACGAAGAATTTCACGGGATAGTAACATAATTTTGAATTATGAGTACATCTGGACGATTTTACACGAAGAACTCGTACGGCGTGCATAAAACTTGCAAATTTTCGAAGCATATCTGTTACGCGAATTGAATCGTAGTGTACTCGGAGTGTATTAAAATATTAATCCTAAAAAAAAAAAAAAAAAAGAATTTCGCATTGAAATCCGGGCCGCGTATATTAACAGAGCCCCTACCCGATTTCGGATCAATCGGTGAGTGCATACAAATACTCAGCCATACGTAGTTTTTCAATGACTAGGACACTATAGATTTAACATTGACACTCGAGACACTAAATTTCTTGGAGAAGTATCGGGTTTGGACAAACGAGCAGTTTACGTTTTGTAAAACTCCTAAAATCACCTCGGTTATACGTTTCTGCTCGACTCGAAATCGGATAGGTCGGTCATCCGGGCACTAATAATTAACACTTCAACGAGCGTGTGTCTATGGTTTCTAATTGAGAATCTAAAAAACCGTTATTGCATCTTGAAGTCTCTAATAAAATATAATATATGTTTGTACTGCACGCAACACGCTCGTTCGGACGGCAAAATACGAATTCCCGTCCGAAACGGATTCCTATCGCGCGCGTATTACAGCTTTGATTTTATTATTTTCGACTTGTCGTTGTCAAACGGCTTTTAATTTGATTTTTAGTTCTGTTTTTTTTTGTTATTTATACATTTTATTAAAAACGCAATTTAATCTCAGACGAACGAATAATAAAACATATACCGAAATACGTTTATTCGCGTTCGCAATGCTGCCTTTTACCGGCTGCTCCTTATACATCACGCCCCACGTCCTTTGACATTTTATATTATAATCCGTATCGAATGACTCGTGCATTACGGTAGATAAACGAAAACCAAACGGATTTCGCGCACCGACACTTTGAATTCTGATTTTTGTCGACAGGAATTCGTTTATTCCAGTTCTGTTATTTGTTTTCCAACGCAAGTTATAATAGTATATTATACATTGCATTTTAGTCAAATCGTGTTGTGTTTATACCATGTTAGTTAAAACTTAAATTACGTAAGGATTCTGTGTTTCAAGTCACGTAAAAAAAAAGTTTGTAATGGAATTTGTCAAAAATAAAAAATTACACAATACGCCGTATTATTATGTTCAACACGTAAACCACTGTTGTAGAAGGGAAGTAAGAAAAATACGTTATAATAAAATATTATAATATTATTTCGTTTGTGTATTGTATTGAAAATATAGTGTTATACTTATCATAGCAAAAAAAAAAAACGATTCTGAGCGGAGTTAGTTTAAATCATTTTTATTAATTTTAAATTTGAACATACTATTAATTCGTAATTATATTATACAAAATAAAATACAATTATTCGTTAATCCAAAAAGTTACAATATTTTTGTCATTTTGACAAAGATGTTGATAAAATAAAACACTCGACAATTTCAAATAACTATTAATAACTCAAAAAACGAAAGACTAATTTGAAAATAGCATCACGTCTACAAAGTGCTAGTAGTTAAGTATTGATTAAATATCAACTACTTTATGCTACGTATAGTTTTTGGTGAAAATATCAAGCCTCTGAAATCTATTTCCACTAAATTACAAAAAAAAAATATTCCCGTTCTTTCGACATGTTTTTTCTCTGGTTATTCACCGTTAATAAAAAAACTACAAGGAAAATCAAAAAAAAAAAAAAATATGACCATCTTCTCAACGCGCTAACTAGACAAAACAATCCTTTTCCAGAAATCACCATTCACCGCTGATAATAATTGACGATAGGAGCGAGATTCTAATCTGAAAGATTCTGGTCGAAAAATTAATTGCCGACAGGAGCAACAAAAAACCATAGCAAACCCGAAAAATTACTCGCTTCGCTCAGCACATAAAATGCATTGTTGATAATTCCATACGTTTCCATAGGACATACTACATAATATAATATACGCCGTATAGTCTCCAAACTTTGTTAAAAAATCACCGAGATTAAACAGCGTATACTCTGAAAAAGGTTGTTAAAAAAAAAAAAAAAAAAATGTTTAAAATCGTCAAGATTTATTTTATACCATTGCCAATGAATCCTTAATAATTTTACAAATTGTGTCTATTTCAGTAATTACCTATAACAGACAATTTCGCGATTTTATTACAACATAAAATAGTTTCATTTAAAAAAAAAAAAAAAAAATCGTTGAACGTATTGTTTCAGTAGTTTGTCATTAACGTTCGTATTATAATTGATATCTCTCTATAATATAAACAACGTAAACCGTAAAAAAATATACAAAATATCCTAGCGCGTAAGACACAGGATATTATTAAAGTATATACTCTCAACAAATAACTGATGGAAACACCTCTGTCAATAATTACGACCACAACGTGGAAATACGACATTATGCATTGTTTAATGTTACTAAATTTGCTTTCGTAATATTATTGCCGCACCGATACGAAATATCACGTTTGGTCGGAGTGTTTTGACGGTTTTAAGCACAGAAATAATAAAAGTGAACAAACAGTATTGTATAATTTGTTTATCAACGATGACTCCGCCGGTTTATCTACATATAACCGTCATCATATTATTATTTTTATAAAAGTCCTTCGATATAATAACAATAATAATCGTACGTCCATCCGTCCGCAGTTAATGGTTTTTAATTTCCTCGTTTATAAACGATAATTTTCATTATTTCAATCTACAGAGTTTCTATAATTGTTTCAATAGAATAATACCTAATTCAATTGAATAACAATATATCGGATAAATTGCCTACCTGTACAACAGTTAAACGATAAATCTCGTTTTCGATTCGTAAACAATAATTGTAATCGTTTTTTTACACCTAATAGTAGTGAATATAAATGTTAATTCTGAAAAAAACGTTATTTAGATTTTTTTGTCCTATCCGCTTCGTTCACTCGATCTAACCGACGTTTCCGGGGTGTTCCTCTGGGGCACCTATCGGTTAGTTTATTCGGTCGCGTAGCCAGGAGAAGAATGATTAGAGGGGTTATAACTCTCTACTCCGCGAAATTTTTGGGGAAACTCTATTTCGGTGTGCTTGTTTATGGGAAATTAAACAAGTGAACGAGAAGATTGACAAATTATTATCACCCCCGTCTTCCCTCGAAATTTTTTTTCCGACTTTATCTTTCAGATCGGCGATACGCAGTTAGATCCATTGAAACCGCTTTATAGTTTAAAAAAAAAAAAAAAAAAAATCACTTAATATTATTAGATTTCTTTGACTCCCGAATCCATGGTTTTTCTCCTTTCGCATATTCTCGTTTTCTAGTTCGTTTCCGACGGGTCTGTATAGTTCCCTCGGCATCTCCCTGTCAAATACAAACGGTTTTCTCCCATCTCATACGGCCCGATTTGTAATATATATCATTCCATTTAAACAATATTATTATTTAAATGGATACTGAATATTACGTATTCAACCCAGACCACTAACCTACAGACTTTTGACAAATGTTTTAAACATTTAAACGACGTTAAATTATATTACGCATCCTTATGATTAATAACGATTTAAATCAACGCGTTGGTACACGATAAAATATAATATCCAGTGAATAATGCAATCAGCCAGACAATCAGTCAGCTATGTCTGATGTGCGATTAACATAACCTCATATCAACTCTAACAATACGCGGAGCACACGTATAACAAAATAATTATTCGTTGTATAATTGAAATAAACGCTGTACGTTGCGGACGTGAGTATTAATATCTAAATAAGGCTTATCGGTGATGTCTGATTGAGGGGAATATGTCTAACTGCGTGAGGACATATTAGCGTACATTTTGCGAAAGGGAATGAAAATATTAATTGTATATCTTCGTAAATGACATTATTTTAATAATAATATTGTAGAAATTTACATAATGTATTTAGATGGTGTTTTACTAAAAAACGATAGTACATTTTAATTTCAACATGGTTTAGTGTTGAGTGGTTATCTGTACTATTAATGATCAATGAAATGTGTTGGTTGAGAAAATTGGTAAAACTATTAAATGTATTAGTTATTAAAGTAAAATGCACTACCACACACCCAACTTTACTCTTGAATAATTATATTTAAGTTCTTTGATTTCAAATTTGTGTGCATATTTTTTTGTTCGGCGTCAGTCTCGTCAGTACTCGACGCCGAATTCATTAAATCTATCATTCTGGAAATATTGGGTATTATTATGCACCCGGAGTACATACCGAGGACAGACAAACTAATTATTAAACTCGTACATACCTATTTATTTATATGTACATATACGTACATAATACATGTTATATCATATAGTGTATCTACTTGATAATTTCCGAGCGGTTTCTTATGAAAATAAAATCACGATTAATTATTACTATCGATTAATGTTCCATTATTCTTATAATATGATATCGAATAAGATAAATGTGCGCTATTGATTAGGCAACAATTGTTTTTATTTTATACAACAACACTATTACTAACAACACTCGAATTATTCAATAGTAGTACCCATCACTTAAAGTAGCATATCATACCGAAATAATGCGATAACAGTCATAAAGTTTTCTATTAGTGTTGTAAATTGTGACTATAAAATATCTAGACTATATTATTGTATCTAATGTCTATACAGTTGCAGTCAATACGTGTCAGCGCGAGCACTGATAACGGGTCAATTATCAGAGTCCACCATTTATACGTATTTTTCGTACAATATAAACATTAAAACGCGTGTATGTAAAAACTGCAATAGTTCATTAAAAGTAAGTTTATTTATTGTCATTTCAATAGTAATACGTAAATATACCTTTAATTTCATCTTTTAACTATCGGAGTATACAACGTGCTCACTCCATTTTTTTTTTTTGGTAAAATTTTGCATATATTATTTAAATTTTGATTTTTGGAATTTTTAAGTGTAGTTGAAGCCGATATGTTTGATCAATTAGATTTTCCACAACGTTTGAGGAGTATCCTGTGGTGATACTATCTTTGGTTTTTCAAATAAGAATCTATATTAAAAATTCCATAAATATACGGAGTATTATTTTAAATAAATTTTGACGTCAAAATGGCGACGTATTGACAAAACGTCAACTCGTTAACAAGATAAACCACTTTAAAGTTTTGATAGGAGCAGAGTAGTAATTGGATAACTAATAGATATAATAGTTTTTTTAGACGTGGTAAAATTTTAAAATTATCTGTCTCTCTTTTTACTTTTTGAAAAAATATAAAGGTACCTCTAAATACCGGTATCAGAACCGAAACCTTAATTCTATAATTTTAATTGTTTACAAAAAAACCTAGAACCGAAACCAGTACCGACAATTTTTTTAATAACCGAATCGGAACCGAAACCGAAATAACCATAAAGGTTCCAAGCCCTGATTTTTAACCAATATGGGTGTTCGGCTAATAAATTACATTGATAACGTATCGGCGAATTTGCACGGATGCCATGAGTATA